CCACTTCGCGGGGTCTCCTCCAGCCGATCAGCTTGCACCAACTGAGGCGTCTCCTTTCTCGAAGGAATGGGGGTGCTGAGAACCCTATCGGCCGTATAGAATGCCTCCCGTCGTTGCTGCAGCAGCTCTTCAAACCTTGGGATCATCTCTTTATAGCCATCAACCTGCTCGCACAATCGCTTGATTACTGCCAAAAATCTTGGCACGGAGGACGATTCCCATGTTGGGCGACGCCTGCACTTGCGCATCTCCTTTTCCTGCTGTGCCTCGTGGACTTTTCTTGGGTCCCGCACCTCTGTCGCCTTTTGAGATATCACAACCTTGGGCTTACCATCAAGCCTCGATTCTGCGGCGCTCTTCTCAGCGGTGTCGTTGCCTTCTTTCTCGGTATGCTCCGTGACTGTCTCCGCCTCTGTTTGCTCTTCTTTTTGCCCTTCTTGTTCGACCTCCTCTCTCTGTGCTTCTCCCTCTGGCTCTTCTTTCTGTTCGTCCTCGACTTGCTTCTCTTTCTGCTCCTCTTCTACTTCTGTCGGCTCTCCTTGCTTGTCTGGGCCGGCGCCAACTTCCGGGGTTTTTACATCTACTTCGACGTCTTCCACGTCCTCTTCATCCTGATCCTCCTCTTCCTCGTCGTAGATGTAGTTTTCCGGACTGCGGGTAAGCCATCCTTCAACGCTCATGTAGCCGCATATCCCCAAATCCACAAGACTCTCCGTCACAGAGAGGTTGGTTTCAACGGGGTTCAAAAAGAAAGACTCCAGAAGGTCGAGCATTGCATTGAGCAGAGGATCATCAGCTCTCAACGTATGTTCCCGGACTTCTCTTGGAGAACCTGAGTGCTCGCTCGGGACGGTCGCCTCTCTGCCTTTAATCTTCCCTACTGGAGGCGCCATGAGCTTAATGGAGCATGAGTGGCTTTCGAGCCTCGACTTGGTATCCTTCAGCAAGTCGTCGTAGAGATCATTGAAATTGTCAAAACCCCCGATAGCACCAGCAAGGTTCACGAGATATTCCACCTCCTGATCGTGGGCCCCTATCGTCCGCTGAAGAGTGTGCCCTGGCAGGATTTCCGTTCGTAGTAATGTAATAATAGCGTACCGATGATGTCTCTTAAGAATCGCCGACACTAGCTGTAGCGTGACGTGTATTGTTTGTTGGTTTCTTGACCTCAAACAAGCCAGGATCAGATCGACCAGGTTAAAGAGGAGGGGGGTGACAGTGGTGTCCGATATTGAAGCCATCATAGTTGCAAGATCCATTGACTTTCGCTTGCGGGCATTGCTTATTGATGTTGTTGATCTGGACAAGTCTTGGGCGGGTTCTGCATCAGGCAGAGCAAGAAGGTAATGGAGGATGAGGTGAATCATGTCAGGGTGATCCAGAGCCTCAAGGATACGTCGTAAATATGTCAAGACAGCCACCGAGGATCCACCATCAATGTCTGAAGATTCGAGTAAGGAAGGATAGCTACCACAGTCAGTCAGAGGGTCTGCGAGGTATACCAAAAGTCTAAGCTTACAGTAATTGCTGGAGGAAGATGACTTGGAAATGCTCCAACAGAGTCGATTTGACTTCGACTGACTTGCAATGGTTCAAAACATCCTGCCAAAACAGAAGGTGGGATAGAAATGTCTCTAGATGTGATTGGAAGTCCGAGGAGCAGGAGCTGACAACCTCAAAATTGGATGTAGGGTGTTGGTAATCGGAAAATGCGAGAATCGGAGGCAAGTTCTGGGTTGGATAATCAATAACGAGTTTCCGGCTCAGCTGGCTGTACAGGGCACCTAGACCCGTAGCCATCAGGGTTGACAGGTCGCTCTCAACAATCCATTGCTCCAGCAATACCGAACGAGAGGCCGACTCGATAATGTAGAGCAAACCGGTGCGAGCGAAGTCACCAACCTTGCCCTCGTGGTGGATATAATCCATCAGAATGTAGAAAAGAGGGAAGTCTCCCCTTTGAGTCCGGCCAGCAAATTTATCACGATTATCGCGGTCGCCATCAGCATATTTCGGGTCGTCTTCGTGAGTGTTGAACCATGCCGGCAATATCGCAGGATCCTGCCGTATCTTTGTAGTGATGTTGAACGCCAGCTCCACGACCCGAGACTCCGTGTCGAGCCCGAGGGGGGCACTATTGGCGCCCGTAATGCGCACAAGGAGATTCGTCAGGCTGGTTGAGAATGTGTGTTTCTCCACGAAAGCTTCCTCCTCGCTCTCGATCAATGTCGCAAAAAAGAGGACCGCCTCCTTTATAATCCACTCATTGTATGAAATGATCGCGATCTTGCCGATGTGGACGTAGATTTCCCGTAACGATGCAAACTGAATGCAGGGATGCGGTAGAGGACGGCGGCTTTCGTCGCTAATGATATTCGTGAGCTCTTGGAGCCCAATCTCGACGGTCTCGGCTGCATCGCTGTCGCGGGAGATGTTCGAAGTGCGCCATGTCGCCTGTTTGGTCACAAGGTCAGCTGCCCGTCTGTACGTATAATCGGCCCCAGTGGCTCTCCGGCAGCTCACCAACAGTTTTCCGTATTGCTTCTCGAACCGATGTAGCCGCTTGGCTGGATCTTTCGCCTGGTCCTGGCGGGTGCTCTCCTTGGAGAGGGGGCTTAATAGGCGGGACCACTGTGTCATGTTAACCAAGAGACTGTCTTCTGGTCGGAATCTGCTTGCTCACAAAGTCCATGATGGCTCTATTTTCATCTCAGCAGGGAGAGGATCATGAGGGAGTAAGCTGGCCTGGCGCCAGATGACACGTTCGCATGGCGCACACGATACGTGCTTCGGTTGGAGGGAGCTTGATGTCTGACTTGACTTGCGACTTCCTGGCTCTCCAAGCATTCTTGGCACAATGCTGTCAGGGGAGCCGTGGCGTCTGCTGTAGCGACAGCCACATGGGGCTTGGTGGGCTTGCGGTTCCGGCTACCCTATAGACCATGACACCGTGCATTTACGAAGATTGTCTTCAATGCCTGTTGATCGGTGAGAAAAACATCTATTTGATCCCAATAAAATGTATTGTTTATTATCATCTTAACAACATTTTGTTCTACATTCTCTACCTAAATATTTTGCTACCAATATCGCTTCGTAAAGTGCTACATAATTAGGGCTACGTTGCTTCTAATATAAAATTGCTATCAAATGCCGGTGCATGGATATCATTCATATATTTTATGCGCCAACAGGGCAAGGGAGCAGGCATTATCCTTCTTTCCCCTCCATGCCAAGGAAAATCACATCCTTCAGCCCGATAGAATTCTGTCATACAGCTTATTACTTTTATTTCAGTTTAGACATTCCATCACGCATTGTTTCAACATTGAGCCGACTACAGAAAGACGGAGCGATACTTGCTGTATCATTAATTGGCTTTTTGGCGGCCAGCGGGTGATTTCCTGGGCCCCACGTTTTGGTCATCGCCCTCCCTAGATTTGTGTATGCGTTGCCTCTCGTGATGATGCCATATTTAGTAATTTGTTGATAAAAACCATGAAATGAATTGAAGAATTCTAAAAGCTGTATCCAATAGGAAAATTAAAATTGGAAATAGGAAAAGGGAGATATGCAGGACGAGAAAAACATCGGGGGTTTTGCGGCTGCACCTTTATCTGAGTGACCTTGTCAAGAAGGCTCACTGGAACAAGGAATTTTTGTCAGAACTTGAAGATATAAATGAGATTATATTCAAGATCACTGATAACACGTCTTCTTTGGCTGATGAATCAGACCTAAGAAACGTTCTCGATGCTGCGCTGGTGGAGCGGGGACCTGTATGTCGCTGCTTATGGCTCGCTCAAAGGACTAGAACTCAAGTAGTGTTAAGCTTTCTTGCAGTGGGTTCTAGAATTGAATTCGAAAATGATTATTCTATTTATATTTATAAATCTTTACCTTCCGGAAGCAGTACCCTGTATTCAAACACAGTAAACCGGTAAGATGATAGTCGTTACGGAAGCTAACATGAAGGCACAGAGCAGTGGCATTTTATTTATAACTGATGTAGATATGAACTATGATTCATAATATAAATAACTAAACTACACATTAGATAATATATAGAACGGCACACGCTCGATCCAGTTAGAGCCATGAAGATTCCTTGCTGCGAGTGAAGGTTCTCCGGGATTCATAACCTATCCTGGCTGTCCTCCGTGCCATACTCTCACCAAAGAGACTACCTCTTGTCGTGATCCAACCATTATGGACCAATATTATGCGAGTCTGTCTGCACGATGCCGCCCAAGTCAATTCAATGCAGGCTAGCTTCGTACAAGCGAGTCTCATTCATGCAGATACTGAACACTGAAATCGGACTAATGAATTTCTGTAAGAGGCCTCCTGATCCGGATTCTCACGGGCAGCCATTACGACTTCTCTTTTGCCAAATGCACCATCGATTCCGGTGTCGAACAAGCGAGATGGCAATTATAGAAGTTAGCCGCGTCCAGTAGGTAAGCTGTGTTGGTTGCCTCGGGCGCTTCCTAAATAGGCGCCTTCCGCGATGCTTATCTGCAAGTGGCCATAAATACCGTAAATCAAGGGTCTTCATAGGTAACCGCCTGCCTTAAATTGGGATGCGGGTATTCTCAAAGGATCAATTGGGCCCGAAATAGCGCTTTGCGGCAGTGAGTGAAACTTAACGCTAATTTTATGGTTGTTCTTCCTTGATCTAGACTGTAGGCTCAGATAATAATACTTCGCATCTTGCGTCAAGTGGCAACTGGGTTAGCTCGGATTCGCTTGCAGTTCTTCCCTACTCAAGTAAAAATAGACCTCGAACTCGATATGGAGAGCTTCTTGTATGTTTCAATGGAGATGAAGAATTATAAATACCGACCGACTGCCTTCAGAATCTGAGCCGGTCTCTGTATCAACTCATCACTTCAACTCATAGCTGATAACCTTTCAGCTACTACCCGTTCTCCTCTCTATTCCACTTGTTAACGAAAACCAAACGAATACATATTGCACTCCGAGAATTCTTGGCCAGAATGCGCTTCACAGAAATTCTCGCGATCGCCACTCTTGGCCTGGCAGGCGCCGGCTCTGCATACTCTTCCTCCAGCTACGGAGATCTCGAAACCCGCGACGAGCACCAACTGCGGGTTGCCTACCAACGAAGCTTAGATGGGCTTGAGATCCGCGAACCAAAGCATCTGAAAATTGGTATCATGGATCCAAAGAAATTGGAAAAGCTGAGGAAGTTGTCGAAGAAGAAGAAGACGACTAAACCTAAGAAGTCCAAGTCCAAGTCTAAGAAGCCAAAGAAGGATTCAAAGAAGAAAATCAAGAGACCTGCTGGTCTTAGGACTGGCAAGAAAGGAACTTTCAATGAGGGTCCCTCAACTGCCTACCAAAATGTAGGAGGTTCCAGCACTGCCTACAACCGCAGGTCGCTTGAACTCGAGACCCGTCAGCCAATGCCTCTCAAGATTGGCATCATGGATAAAAACAAATTGGAGAAGCTCAGAAAGGCTATAAAGAAGCCAAAGAAAACAACCAAACCAAAGAAGGCGAAGAGCTCAAAGAAGTCGACTAAGTCAAAGAAAAAGGTCACCCTCAAGAAAGTTGCTGGTACCAGGACTGGCAAGAAAGGAACTTTCAATGAGGGTCCCTCAACTGCCTACCAAAATGTAGGAGGTTCCAGCACTGCCTATGACTAGGCTGAGCGTCACGTTGAGAGCGGTTTATTTTCAATTCTAGGGTAGTGTTGGAGCAGAATATTTTCATGTATATCATAGTTTTTCTATGCACAATTTATCGAGGCGTCGAGTTGTTCCACAAACTGTGAAAGTCTCTCTGTTCAAGTAAGCTTTTTGGCCACGATGTTGCAGGGAGCTGTGAGGCTGCTCCTGACCCACTCTTTACAGCCTCGGGAGTTACTCCGATGTGCTCCATGACTAAGCACTAAAAAACAGGGAAAAGTCTGGAGTGCAATGCGCTAGCTCAGTCATCAAGTGGTAGAGGTACTAGTGACTCATTTCCCACAGTGACGAACTTTGAAACCTAAAGCTTTAAACAAAACAGGCAAAGGAGATAAAGCCTTTTACGTAGTCCATGCCGGAGGGGGCAACAAAAGGCTCGTTTGTTATCGTCGCCCGTCGCCGCCGGCCTTGAATGTTATCTCATTTCGTCGATACCACCTGATGCTGCAGCTTACACTGACAAGTACTGGTACTCGGAATCCTTCAAGGGACAGAGGTATAAAAATAATCCAACCGGCTCCTCCTGCATCCCCTCAAACAGCGAGCACAAAAAGTGCCCACCACCAGTGCATGCACTAATCCTAATGCGACTATTCTCCTGCACCCCCAAAAGAGGGTGGACCCGCGAACCAGCCAGTCAGAATCAATCATTTATTATGTCGATCGCAGCTGTCCAGCTGGTACGAGTTTGTCGTCAAGAGAACTGCCTTCCCTGACCGACTTTTACCCTACCATTCTGGGTGTTGTGTTGCATCTGTCATCTCAGCCCTTTGCCCACTGTCGGATTACATGGCTACTCGGCTTGAGTCAGGTCTCTGTCATTAGTAGCTATATCAAGACTGATAATACTCGCTGATCAATGGGTCAAGTCTCTCTCTAAGGCAACACCAAGACTACTCTACTGGGCTTGCTGGGATCTTAGACTCCACCTCACTCGCATTGCCAGACCTTTGATGCACTCGTGATCTACCCCTCTGTTCCAATCTGCATCATTTATATCATCGCCATGGCCGAGGAAATCCACAGCGCGGCAAATCCATACACGTATTGACGCTGCTGCTGCGCTGCGACAGTCCATCTCGCAGTTTACAGGTCCACGTATCACACTCGCGCTTCAGACGAAGGTGGGTTCTTCGGTCATCAGAATGCAAAGGAACCATCACTTTGATTAGACCCCCCCCCCCCCCCCCCCCCCCCCCCCCAAGGTGGCATTGGTAGTCGCCCTATGATGTGCAGATCAGAAGAGTGTCGCGCGAATTTCCTGCCAACTCTGGCTGGCCAGAGATTTCAACGTTGCCCAGACGAGTTAGCGGGCTTCGGCACTCTACTCCATGGGCTGGTCAAGTCCTTTTAGCGGCATCCATCACAGCTGAATGTGATCATAGAGATGGAGACGACTAGTACTTGGCGAGTATGGTGCTGCCTGCCAGTACATAGGTAGACAGGCAGAGAGACAGGCAGCAGGTACGGGTACGCCGCCATGTATGTACCTGTCTTATTAGGACGGCCCTAGAAGCACAAATCTGCTCCACACCCTCATTGTTCAAGTGCCGGGCATGGCGGCAGCCATCGTGGTCTGGTTGATGCGTGGGTTGGAGTGTAGATGGATGCAGGTGCATCTCCCTGCCTGGGTAAGACGTCGTCTTGCTCGCATCATACTCGGTCGGGATGCGAGCTGATACAACACACAGGCATCCACTCGCTGCACGTCCTCGACTAAGCACGCGCGCACATACTACACTGAAGGTGCATCTGCAGGGAAAACACGTAGGTAAGCCCCAGTAGCGGCGGCCAGGGCAGGGCAGGGCACAGCGAGTCAACGCGGGGTGGGGGTGCTGCTGCTGCTGTTTCTTCCAGTGGACCGGCCCCCGACGATGCGCATAACGCATCATAGAATAGTGCAGCGATTGCCTTGTCAGCCGACGAGGAAACACTGGCTGCTGGCGCTGTTAGTGCGCCATTCCGGGGGGGCAGATCAAACTCGTGCTGATGGGGCTCCCCTGGGGGCCAAGTGCCTGCCTAACCCTGGCCAGTACGTGGAAATTTTCCCATCGGTCCACTGAAACGTGCGGGCTCTCCGCCTGGACCTGCTGCTTGGCCCTACAGTTGAGCCTGCTGCACCAGCGACAGCCAATCGATTTGCACGGCTTTGGGGAGTTGCCGGCTGCTTGTCCAATCCCAGCGCATCCCCGCCGCCTTTATTCCCGTTCCGGTTGTTCCTGATGCCATGTACTTCTACTGCACTCTCCCGCTCCTCCCAAAAATCCCACACCCAGTCTGGCCTGCCTGCACCGTGCCCGTGTCACGCACATCGACTAAGCCGTGGCATCCATCCTCCGCAGAAATCCTAAAGCCCTTTCTTACTTTTACAACCGCCAGCCGCCGCAACACCCCCAACCCGCCTCAACGACCATCAAAGGCTACTTCAATTGCGAGGCCTGCACCTGACGGTTTCCAAACTCGTCGGCAGGCTTCTTTTTTGTCGTCGCTCCACCATCGCCGCATGTGTTCCAGGTCCGGCCAACTCCCCGCACACGATTCTCCCACCGTCCACGACTTCCGAATTGTCGAATCGCGCGAGCCCTCGGTACGGTCGTACGCCCCTCGCTCCTCTTCCACGGGGCAACCGTTGTCTCGCTGCTAGCCCTGGTCCGGTCGTGGCTTTTGGGCTTCCGAGCAGTGGGCAGCAGCAATCCAGGGCATATGCCTCGCGGAGTAGGCTCCAGTAAGCGAACGTCAGGGGCCGGTCAGCGCGACACTAGGCATGAGAATGGGCTTGTCGGTCCAGCAACTGCGAAGCGAGCCGTCGGAAACAAGAACTCCGGGCAGTATGAGGGCGCTGGGAGGTCTGGGACTGAGAATGTCCCGGGCCAAGCAGGTCTGCCCTCACCCAATGCCCACAACAACGGTTCCGCTTACCAGCACCAATTAAATGGGAATGGCAACACCAAGGGTTCTTCGAGAAACGGCAATGCCAATGGCGACGCTAACTCCATGGGCAATCAATTGAGCACCAGGCGGACCTCGCTTGGGACCAGTTCGGACGAGACATCATCTGAGTCTGGCGGCTCCAACATGGGTAACCACAACGGTGGTGCCATGGACGGCCTTCACCGTCAGATTGATGTTAATGCCACCAAGAATGTCGACGTCCATCGTGACTCCGGCCCTCTTGAGCTTGTCACTACCGTCCTGAAGACATTGCCAATTCACGACACCCTAGCTATTCTCATTATCCTCATGCACGTCCCCTCCGTGTCCCTGACGTTCATCTACGCAATATTCACCTTCCTCACCTTTGTTCCCCCCGTCACCACCAGCTCTGGAATGAATATCAACTTTGCCGAGATCTTCGACGGCAACTCGACCACCCCCTCGCCTGTCACTGTCATGTGCATGGATTTATTCTTTCTTCTCTTCTGGCTCTTTCTTTGGCAGCCCTTGCAGGACATCCTTCTGGACTTTGCTAAGCCGATTATCGCCATCACGCTTGGCGGTGGCAGTGGAGCAAGGGATGGCTCTTCTAGAGGTCTCACTACTTGCTTCATCTGGGTCGTGTTCCACCATGTGCTTCGAGGCACACGCCTGCATTGGACACGGTTTGTGCGCCACATACCCGAGAACTGGCCTATTCCTTCCACCCTGCAGGACACATTCAATTTTCCCACCGAGAGTTATGATATGAGATCGGGCGTTGGGTGGGTGAAAAGTGTTTTAGCTGTGCATATATTAACCCAGGGGATTGTACGATATGTCAAAGAGTGGTATCTCAGGCGTGAGAAGGTGGGAGCGCAAGCCAACATGAGTGATCCAGAAGCCGGAAAATCCGCCGGCGGCACGACCGATCTGTCGACCGATGCTGGATTCTCGACAACCGACGCTGAAGCAGGTATTCAGCATGCGCCCCCACCGCCGCCTACTACCATGAGCAAAAAGAGAAGAAAACAAAGTACACAAATACGCCTACAACAACCGCTCTGGGCTGCTTTAGCGAGCACCAAGATTGTGGTAATGAAGGAGTACGAATTGTCGCATGCAACTAGCGAGCAGGCTGGCTCGAACGCGACCGATGTTCACAACCTCGGAAACGCACCGTTCGAGAAGGAGCCATGCCACATTTGGATTTCATATGTAGGCAGCGACGAGGTTTGCTTTAACACTAGCCACTTTGAGGACGACGATGAAGACGACGAGCAGAAGAGTTGCCAAGGAGAGAACGGAGAATTTGTCTCGAGCCAGGCCAGACACCCGCAGAGGCCTCTGTATGTCCGTGTCAACAACGCTTTCTGGCAGCCGACCCGCATGTTCCCACTCGAGAAGCAATCAGAGGACCAAGTGGGCACCCAATGGACTGGCGACATTTATGGTCTCCGACCTGCCTCCAAGTATGTCTGTGAGTTTGTCGATCGCCGTACCGATGAGGTTCTTTTCAAGACCACCATTCGTACCGTTCACGAGCCGCAAAAAGAGACAGACAGTGGAGCACCTAGCGCAGTCAATGGACAACCTTCTCTTCGTCCTGATTCGCCTGCCACAACTCTGAAAACGTCTATCCAAGCTGCCGAATCTAGACTTTTTGACGAGAAAAATCGCCTCAAGGCATCCCGCAAGGAATGGAAGAGCCGAACCAATGCTCTGAAGAAGGAGATCGAGTTGACTGATCATCAGCTTGCAACAGCTGGTAACAGCGACGAGAAGTTCCGACAGAAGGTTCGCCAACAAGAGACGCAGAAATCGCAGGCTGAGAGAGACACCGAGACCGTCGCCGAACAGCTGAAGAATTTTGACACCGCCCCCGAACTATCCGACCGTCGAAAGAAGCTTGATCGCCAATACGGTGGTGAGAAATCCATGTACGACGTTGCCAAGAAAGAGTACGAGGAGTTCAAGTCCAAGCTTGAGAAGGAGGTCAAGAGCACGGGTCTGGAAAAGTCCAACCTGGTCAGCAAGGTCAACAAGATTAGGACAAGAATCAACCGGGTGGAGACGGAGCTCAACAACATCTCGGACGCCAATGCCCGTGGGCTGGACGAGGTCCAACGCCGTCACCAAGAGCGCCTTCACTGGGAAGAGAACACGAATGCCATCGAGGCTAATTACCAAGAGAGGCTAAATCATATTCAAGCGTCCAACGTGATCAAGGTTGAGCAGATCCGAGCCCTCGAAGCGCAGTTGGCAAGCTTTCTCGACCCGCATGGTGCAATGGCTCTTGACCCCAATGGCGGAATGGGAGTCGATTTGGATACCTACGATGAGCATTACCAGCAGCAGCATCTTCAACCCTGGAACCCAAACCCAGCTGCTGTCCCACATGTCCCAAATATGTGGATGTCGTCTTCTGAATTGATGCCCTCTGTTTCTGTCACCTCTGGTGGTGCCTCAGGCTGGCAGCCTGCGATGGCTCCCGCTTTCGAACCATCCAAAGGTTTCAAGTCTCGTGGTCGTAGCTCTAGTATGCTCAGCGATATCAGCGGCTTCACCCAGTCTACCAATGAGGAGGACTCGCCACCAGCTCACAGCCTGTCTTACGGTTGGAATGCCAATACATTCACACCTGTTAGAAACACAGGGTATGGGCGGCATGACGAGAACAACAGCGGCGGTAGTGGGAATGGTAGCGTTTCTGCGAGTCCCAGCCCTTGAAGGATGTCCGAGAAGGCAATCCCGATTGTGTCTTGTAGGGGTTCAGAAAAGCGGTTTTCGTTAGCAAATACAATTATGTGCTATTTCTTCTTATTAACATTTCCCTCTGATCGTTGTGACGTTGTGAATGCCCTATGTATAACTTTTGCAATCTGGTCACGGTGGATTCATCTTGTAGTTCATATAAACGCTGTCTGTGTGCAACCCGTATGAGAGAATCTAAACCCCGATGCATCATGCTAAACGTACACATCTCATTCCAGGACCTGGAGGAGATAACGTCTCCATAGAAACTCCTAACTCAACATGCTGATTCATGTGCCTCGTCACTCTTTATGTACAAGCAAGTTATCACCCTTTAATGCGACCCGGCAACGGGGTCCTTCAGCGGGCTCTCATCGCCAGTCTCTCGGGCCTCTTTATCATCCTCCGCCTTGGAGACGTCCTCAGCAGCCCGCATCGTTTTGATCCCGACCTTGTTGTAGTTGACGAGCCGGTCCGCCTTGCGACTCCACGTCTCCCTCTCGAGCTTCCACAGCTGCCCGAGGATCTGCGCCTTGACGATCTTGCGCGCCACCTCCCGGATGCCGGTCGCGTCCTCCCCGCGCGTGTCGAGCTCGAGGTGGGCGTGCACGGGCATCATGGTCTTGGCGACCTCGTTGACGCGCAGCAGCTGGTAGTCGACGCGGGCGGAGCCGGCGTAGTCGCCCTTGCCGGCGGTGTAGAGCTGCATCTCGCAGGAGACGTGGCCGTTCCGCTCCTCGGTTCTGAGGGACGTGAAGATGTCGATGGGGAGGCGGCGGGGTCCGTCTACTGTTTGCTGGGGCGGGGGAATAGTTTAGCGCTTGGAGGGGGGGAGTTGGGGGCGGGGGGAGGAGGGGAAAGACGTTACGGTGATTATGCCTTTGGGGGATGGGACGCTTCGGATGATGATGTAGCGACTGCGGAGCTGGATGTTGTCCTTTGATAAACCTGATTCCTCGATCTTTGCTCTGATGTGCTCTTGGAACGACTCGTCGGCCAGCCGGAGGATGGCCTGTGACTTGATTATACCGCTCTGGGAGGGCGTGTTAGCAAGACGTCGAATCAACTTCCAGAGTAGCGGCAAAATAAAATCGACTGCGGGAGGGAATGTAATCGGGGGAGGATGCGACTGACATACACGATGTCCACGGCCCCGAACACGTCGTCCTCCTCCAGCTTGGCCGACCGCCTCGTCCTCGACTTCTCGGCCCACTGCGTCATGGTGATCATCTTCCCCGGACCGCCCGAGTTGGTGATCAGCCGCAGTATCTCGCCCACCCTGACGATCTGGTTGTGCTTCAGGCCCGAGTAGACGAGGACGCCGAGGTCGTGGTAGAGGTGGCGCAGGCAGGGGATGATGAGCTTGTCGGGGACCTCGCCCGTCACGCCGATGGGGACCTCGACGAGGCGGCGGGGGCGGATTGAGCGCCAGTTCCGGAGGTGAGGGAAGACTTGGAGGGCGGGCGGGAACCGGAGGCCTTGGTGCGCCATTTTGAGATTCGAATTTGTCTCGCCGGCCTTGTAGATGGCGAGGGTTGAGGCGAGGCTTCGAGTGAGGGGTGTCTGCGTATGGGATTATAATTTTTGAGGATGGCGCGATAAGGCTGAGACTAGGCTAGAGGGATGTGGCTGGAATTGTCAGCCTTGCATATTGTGGCTGAGATTTGGTGGCGTCACTCCGGATGAGGAGAAAGCGTAGGCCAATGACTTGGTCGGTGATCGCTCCGGTCTTCACCCTCTCGTCTACCTGTACCGGCTGTAGTCAATTGCAGGGATGCAGCCGCCCCGTGTACAATGACGCCTCCTAACCCAGTGCTGCGAAGGCAGGTGATAGCTATCTACAAAGGTTACCAAGCGGCTTGCCCCCCTTCCATGTGCTGTGTCAGAGCTGACGGCTACCCAGAGCTTCTCTACCTGGGACGAGACTATCCCTTGGGGTATGATTATTTTAGGCCTCGGCTTCACAAGGCCTTCATGAGCAAGGCAGGGGAGCGAGATGATGAGGCAATTAAGAAGGGTCTTGCCCATGCAGAATTCGTGAAGAAAGGTAAGTGTTGTATTGCGACGAGTCACTTGAAAGAGGACACTGTTGACGATACACAATAGAGATTGAAGCCCTGTAGGTGCATTTTCCATCGATATATTTTCCATTGACTTGATAATGCCTGATAGACTGTTCTACTCTAGATGCCACGGCTGACCCTTTCCGCAGATACTACTTAAAGAGATACCGTACGCTGCGAAAGCGCTATGATCCGGATGCTTGAGAGCTGGAAACAGTCATACCATAAATAGTCATCCTAGATACCATCACCAACTGCGCCCACTAAATCTTGAACCACCCCGTTCACGGGGAAACTTCAAAAATTATCCAAAAATTGCAGTAGAAACGGAGAATGCACCCTTTGACCCAGCCGAATGCCCGAGGAAAATACCAAAATTTGGGAAAGGGGAATAACAACCAAAACAATACCAAATGCAGCAAATGCTAGAGATACTTGGAGAGAGGAGAACGGTGGGTATAATAGATCGTCCGACTACCTCTTTGTCGCCCACCATGCCCCTACTTCGAGGCATTCTCCCCAGCTCGTGCCGCCTTCGCTCATCAAATCGTTCATCATCTTGCCCATCCATACGTCCCATTCGTCCTGGCTCTTGCCGCTGGCCTCGCGGAGGAGGGGTTCCAGCGACTGGATCTCCTCCACCACGATGGTCAGTGCCATTTTCCTCAGTGCCGCCTGTCCGGCCGTCAGCGCCTTCTTCTCCACCTTCTGGTGCGGGCCCCGGTCACCCTTCATCTCAACGTAGGACTTTCCGTCCCGGGTGACGACACCGCCGACGCCCTCACGCTCCCAGCGAACTTCGCTAAGCGGGATGGCTACTCTATGTGAGTTGATTTCTTTGAGGGCCTCGGTTTCCTGCAGCAAGTAGTGGTTCACCACAGTGCAGGGCGTCACCAGGAGTGAACGCTCCCCAGCTGCCTTGTTGATCCAGTTATTATACTCGGTCAGAAAGGGGTTTAGCGGAGCTGACAAGGGAGTATTGAGATTGATCATGTACGCTCCGAGGCTCGAAGCTATTTCTTGCTGCTCCGCCTGCGTACCCGAGGCTGTCGGATTGGGCACATGGGGGCGAAGCATTCTAATGATATGATCACTCTCCCAGATTTCCAGCGTGCCACCAGGTTTGAGGACGCGAATCTGCTCATCGATCAATGGCGCGTGATCTCCCATGGTTATCGAGAGCGTCATGTCCTTGTAGAAAACCAGGTCAAACTCATTGTCAGGGAAGGGCCAGGGTTGACGGATGTCGTGCTGCACAAAGGTCCAATTCATGTCCCGGTCCGGCTTTATAGAGTCGTAGGGGATGTTGACGCTGCCGGGAGCCAATGGGGCGATGTCCATGCCGGTGAATTGAATATTGGTATGTCCGCGGCTCTTGAAGTGTCTGTGGCACATCATACTCCAGAAACCTGACCCACAGCCCAGCTCGAGGACTTTGAGCGGTGGCTTGACTGAGAGTGAAGGGGCACACACGGGGGCGCCATGGACCTGAATAAGGAGCAGAGTCCGGAGAGCTTGGCGGTGGAGTTCCGTGAGATCGATTGGGAGGGGATCTACCAGACTGGGGTCGTTGTAATACGTCCGGCCATTGCGCTGGACGAAGGGTTTTGGGTTGTTGGCGGCATTTCCAGGAGCCTCGCCAGAGGCAGAGTTGTCGGTCGAGGTGACGGTCCGGCCTGATAATGCTGTGTTGATACTCGTCGACGAGACGGACTCGGTGCGTGAGAATGATGACGAGTTATTGACAAGCTTCGAACCCGAACTTAGGGACGACTTGTTAGACTCGGCGTCAGGAACCATGGCGACATGCTTGGGGATCTCGCCGGCGGAGAAGGCAGCGGTCCGGGGGGAGATGCCTGGAGAGATGACTGGCGATTTCAGTAGACTCCGCTTGGTAGTAGCGAAGAAGTTGGAGGTGGAAGCACTGAAGTTGGTAAAATGATCCGAGGCCGTCAATCGCTTCCGCCTGGGCGAGGTCGCCGAGGAGAGGGAGGCCCGGGGCGTGTCAGGCTCGTCAGATGCAAAAGGTGGCTCGAAGTTTAAAGTGCCGGCGATGCTGGCAATGCTGGCGTCGGCCGATCTTGCGTCCAGGTCCAGCTCATCAAAGGCCGCTTCCGTTGAGAGGTGCCGAGACAAGGACGCAGACGCGGCGGTCTCAGGTCGATCTGCACTAGAGGCAGTCCTCGACTCTCGCGGGAGAGCTGTGTCGAATCGCGGGGTCGGGGTGTCGAGTGACCTTCGCTCGAGCGGCTTGGGCTTACGACGAGATGGAGGGCGAGACAGAGAACTACTGCCAGAGCTGGAGGGAGGAGAGAAGGCGGCGGCATGTGAGTACATGTATTCCGACATTGTGGTTGGTTGTACTCCCTCCCTACTTGCACGTTACTTTAGTAGCGTGGTAGCAAGCAAGGTGGGAATTGGGCGGCGTCTACCTACTCTCCTGACCTGATGAGCTGCAGTGGATAATTACAGTCTAGGAAGAGCTAGGGGGACCGACTCTGGCGCCCCTGCACTGGATATTGATCGTATTCATACTAGCATTGGTCGTGGTGTCCGGAAAGTTGGAGGCGGCGCCAGCCTAACATGGGCACAGGAAGACGGCGCCGAACTCAAGAGCGTGCCAAGGATGTACCGTCCGAAGCCTCTTGCAGGGGAGGGGCTTGCCAGCGCAAAGCAGGCCTGCGAATGATTGATTGAGGGTGCGAGGGTGGGCGAAGGCCTGGGTTGGGGAGGAGTTAATTAATTCCCCTACCGCGCAAGCCCAGCCCAGCCCAGACCTCATCATCATGCTGCCTGTGCAGGTACATAGCGCATGCCTGTAGCGGACTTGGCTGGGCGGTAGGCAGCTGCGAGGTACCCAGGCCGCAGGTACCGCGCCACTGAAGGCGCTGCGGGAGAGAACCTCTGCGTGCGGCACCGCCTGGGCTGGCGTGGGATGGCTGGCATGGGCGGAGGTACACAGTACTGTCGGCGTGCATTGGCATATGATCGCCCACTCCTAGCGGGCGGCGGATGGCAAACCCGCAGCATCCCCTCCCTTGCCCGAGACAAAACATCTTCACGTCAGGACCAGAAGCGTCTTGGCCTGGCCCGCCCACCTGTTTCCGATCGCACAGCAAACGCAGTCAATCAATCGTCGTGCGACGCGAGCCGACGTGCGATGACGCCTGGGCTGCCGTCACACTGCGGTGGGCGCCTCCCAGTGGCCACCGCGGTCGACGCTGCATGCGGTCTGCACGACAGGCTTACGATTACTTATCGAGCACCTGTGTGCCTGTCCGGCATACCTTACCTCCCTCCCATGCCTTGCCGACCGCGCAGTTAATTTCTGCCGGTCGTGGGTACAGTGGATGAGGCAGCTGCCTTGCCTCATCGGGGGCCTGCTTACCACCATCCTTGTTCCCAACCCTCGCTCATACCCTCCACCAATCCTTCTCGTAACAATTGCCTGTTCTTTGCGCACGGCCAGATACAGGAGGCAAATTAGATGGTGGGAAAATAAGATTCAAATTCCTTGCCTTTCTCTCCGCATGGGAAGGGGGAATCTGTCTGCCCGTCGGGCCCGTCCGAGGGCACAGCAATATTCGCTGAAGCCAAGAACTGTTCCGGCGATGACATGACCCGCCAGAGCTGCGTGTCGTCGGCAGAGACTGCCAGAATACACATGCGCCAGGGATGATGGAATCGTTTCGTTTCCAACGGGTGGCATGGAAATTGTCGTCGCCGCCCCCAACCACCCCGCTGTTGGCTGTAGGTTGGCCGCCCTGTTCATTATTCCCTCTCTCCTTCGAGCGCAAGTGCGGTTTTCAAACTCCTCAAAATGAACGGGGAGACGCTCCCGATAGTGGACGGCCTGCCCCTGCGCTCTATGAGACGGGCTTAGGCCTTACTTGAGCCACAAGCCCCGTCCCCGTATCCACAGTATTCTTCAAGGCGATGCTCCGGTGTAAGCAGCCATGCTGTAATTACACGCTTGTTACATCTACGTAGCATACATAGGTGGGCATCCGTGGTGAGAAGCTCAGTGAGTGATCTGGCGCACTCGTCTAGCATAGCTTGTCCATCAGGCCTGATCCTCTATCAGGTATCGGTGGACTGGTACCGCTGTGTTGGGTTCTCGTCTATTGCCCAGCCTACCTTGCTTTGGCCTGGTGGCAGATTTCGTAGCTGCTCGGTGGAGCTGGATTCCCCGCACAGGAGAAGCTCTTACATCTCGAGTTCCCCTGGAAATTTCAGGTGAGCGAGCTCGGTTCAACATCAAGTGAAGCATGAACCATCATGTTCCAGAGAATGTCAGCGCTCTCACCTGAGCCAAGGCTCTAGCTAGTGCCCCCCGTGCGCAGCCAGGCAAGTGGGATATGAGGCCGCTGGTTGATTTGTGTCGCGTGGTGTGTGGCCTCGAGAAGATCCGCTACTAATCGCTGGTGTTCCTTGCCGCAACTCATGCACATCATTCATGCCCCCAACTGTTAGGCCGCACGGCACTTCATCCCCCTACCCAGGCGCCGTTTAGCGACGTGGTGTTTGCTTCTTGGACAATTTACTGTATGTTATGTATGCAAACACTCAGTTCCACACCAACACTTTGAGATGATAACTATGGTGACGTGGCTTGCTTGACTCTCTCAAGGGAAGCCTAACTACCGAGGCAATATCCGTTCTTGCCCGCCTCACCTTTGAAGATCTAAATGTTGCCAAGGCGAAGAAATTTCTGTTTTATTTTCCCCTCTCGTCTCTTATTACCCACAGGGCTGCCCCCAGTCGTGATCTACATTATTGCTGACTTTGATATGACCACAGACGGCACTTGGCTCGCTCTCTATGTATGAAAGAACGTTCGCGCCAGCCCACGACCAAGCGACGGTGTCAGTTGAGACCGCTACCTTGTATGTTCACGAGTCACTCTCTGCAGGGTTGTTCACTCTGCAGATGACAAAGGAAGAGCACTAGCTTGACTCTAGGTAGCACATTAGCTAAGCAGTAACTTTGGGCACTGGTCTAGTTGGCTTGAGAGGCGTTGGGAGAGCCGGGGACTGCGTATTTGTCAGTACGTAGTTAGCTCACCAGCTTGGCAAGATAGATCGATCTATGCTAGAAGCATTTATGAGGTCTACTACACTTGGTCAAGGTCAGCATACACATTATATGCATTTTGGCAGGTTGCGGGAAGATTGATTCCGGCTAAGCCATGCTCCCACAACGGTTTTTTTTTTTTTGCTTCGACCAACGTTCGCGAGGGCATGTACCGTCTGCAGGAGCGTTAAGATCGAGCCAACCAGAGCGGACACTACTCGAAGTAGCTGTTGAAGTCATTAAAACATAATTGGCGGGGTCAGACAACGGCTCCGTGGTCGAGTACGGCCTTGATTGCACTCCACGCCTCGAGGGATGGAGGGCACTGTGGAAGTCCAGACGAGGCAGCTGATGCATGGCCATTCCAAAACATGCCGGCCTAGTTTCTATCCGTAGTCTAGCTCGTAGAACAGGCAATCTGACCAAGGTTTTGGTTTGGGCAAGCACAAAGCCAAACCCAAATGCCAGTGTCGAGACTCGCGCCGGAGGGGAGCACGTGATCTGGATCCGGAGCATCAGATCTCCCGGTGGGCGGTGGCCGGAAGTCGCTCCATCCACGCATCTTGAGCCTGTGACAAGGAGCCCGCAAGCATTGATTCAGTTCGATATCGCCAGTTACGTATTCCTTCGCCAGAGCAACATTATTTTTTTCAGGCCTGTACGGCCCTGGGACTCGTGCACGCTCCCCTTCTCGCCTCCTGTATGTCTCACACCTTCACCAGAGTTAGCGCCGCTCGCCCCTCCTGCGTGTCGCAAGAATCAGATTGTCCACCACCACAACTGATATCGCTGCCTCCATCCCCCGGTCCCGCCTCATACTAACTTGTCTCTGGCAGGCGATCGCTACGTACTCCGATAGAAAAATTTTGCCCATCGTCGTGCCGGACCAGCGCCATTCCTCTGTCTCGGCCAGCCTCCTCTGCCGTTTTTGACACCCAGCCGATCGATTTCTCCGCCTTTCGCTGCACTCTGGCTCCTCCTCTCTCTTCCCCATGGGCCATTGAACCTCGAAGGCGACCTCCCGATTACGCAACACCGTCACCAATGAGCCTGTAAAGATAGTTGTTTGTGCGAAGCCCTTGCGCGAGCACCACTCAACTTATCTGCTGCTCTCTTGCTTTGAGTCACGTCGAGCCACACCACCATCGCCACCAACCACCACAACTGCAAACCACGACCGATCACGACCGACAACTGCCGACCCTGCTGAAATCCTCTCTAGTCTCGTCCACGTCAATTCCGAGGCAGATGCACACCAACGCCTATCTACGTAACCACGACACAGCATCTCCTACCTCCATATATCCAGTTATACCGTCTGGAATTTTCGACGACCAATTGCTGCCGTCAAACTCGGGCTGCCGGGCACGCACAACTCTGCCGGCATGTACTCCCAAAATCACCAGCAGGGCCATAATGCCCGCCTAAACGGCACTGGTCGTGGCGGGATGCCTCCCAATCTGCTGTACAATTTCCAACAGCACGCGCAGCATCAACATCCCTCCCAGGCCCAGCACCATCAAGGACTACAGCCTGACCACCTGTCATCCTCGAACGGACTCGGTCACCACTCATCCTATCCATCCGGTGTCATGGGGAGCTCAACGCCGTTCAATGCCGGCCTTCAGAACGGCCACTCAGCTTCGAGAGCCGGCCAAGCTCCGCAGAACGAGATGTGGGCGGAGCAAATTCGGTTGCACGAGGAATCTAAGCGAGCTCACTCTGCAATGACCGATCAACAACAACCGCACTATTATGCGCGACTTAAGGCATCGGAAAATAAAGGCATTGGAGCGCCTCCCCCTCCCTCCACCAAAACCCAAGCCGATGGCGAAAACGACTCGTCCGATAGGAGGAAACCGTGGACGTCGGCCGAGGAGAACAAGAGGCAGGACTGGCACAACATGGATATGAGTGGCCAGGGCCTGCGAAATCTGGCTACGGAGCTGTTCAGGTACTCGTTTCTCAACGAGCTGTACATTGCCTCGAACAAACTCACCCGCCTACCAAAGCAGATTGGTGAGCTGAGGCAACTACGGCACCTGGACGCTTCATACAACCAGATTAGCGAGCTTCCCGCCGAGCTCGGCATGTGTACATACCTGAAGCAGCTGCTGCTCTTCAACAACAATATCACAGAGTTGCCATTCGAGCTTGGATCGTTGCACATGCTGGAGATGCTAGGTATTGAAGGCAACCCTCTACACACCGATGTCAAGCAGGAGATTATGGAAAAGGGAACCAAGAGCTTGATCAATGCCCTCAAAGAGGGCGGACCTGGTAAGGAAAAGACGACCTGATTTGCTGGTATGAATGACCGTTTGCTGATCTCTAGCTATAAAGTGCCACTTTCTCCCCCTCCCCGCCAACCTATCACTATTCAAGAGGATGTGTCCCCCAACTTGGAAAGGATCAAGGTCTTCTCTTGGAATATTCTCTGTGACAAATACGCCACCCCTCAGACCTACGGATACACGCCGACTTCCGCGCTAAACTGGGATTACCGCAGGGATTGTGTTCTAGAAGAGCTTCGCGAGAGGGATGCCGACTTCCTTGCCCTCCAAGAAGTGTCCACTGAGGCCTTCAAGGAGGACTTCAGCCCCCCTCTAGCCCGGCTCGACTACAAGGGAGTCCACTGGCCCAAATCACGAGCCAAGACCATGTCCGAAAAGGACGCTCTCGGGGTGGATGGTTGCGCTGTCTTCTACAAGCAGAGCAAGTTTATCCTGCTGGACAAACAATTAATCGAGTTCGCCACTATTGCTATCAACCGACCCGACATGAAGAACCAGCATGACGTGTTCAACCGAGTCATGCCCAAGGACAACATTGCTGTTATTTGCTTTTTCGAGTCCAGGCTGACCGGTGCTCGGATCATCCTTGTCAACGTTCACCTCACATGGGACATTGCCCTCGCAGATGTCAAGGTTATCCAAACCGGTATCTTGATGGAGCATGTCACCAAGCTCGCAGAAAAGTATGCTAGGATGCCAGCCGTGAAGGATAAGAAGATGATCACCGTACCACTGGCGGACGACGGGGTCATGCCTCCACATGTGGAGCCTGGGCCAAGCCAGGAATACCGCACCAATACCGAAATCCCCTTACTTGTATGCGGAGACTTCAACTCGACGGAAGACTCCTCTGTGTTTGATTTGATGTCCAAGGGTCGTGTACCGCCTGACCACCTGGAGCTAGGTAACTATCAATACGGAAGCTTCACTCGTGACGGCATAGAGCACCCTTTCAGCCTGCGCGACTCCTACTCGCTCACCAAAGGCACCGCCGACGAGCTAACGTTCACAAACTACACCCCAAGTTTCACCGGCGTGCTTGATTACATCTGGTACTCGACCAACACGCTCGAGGTGGTCAACGTGCTTGGGCCTCCTGACGCTGGCTACCTGTCGAGGATCCCCGCCTTCCCATACTGGCACTACCCGGCTGACCATATCCAAATCATGACGGAGCTCGTCATCAAGGGCAGGAAAGACAAGAAGCAGCTGCCAGAGCGAGAGGTGGATTTCGGCAGCGGCCGTGGGTGAGACGACTGTTTGTATCGGGCTAAGCCAGATGGATGGATACACAAGTACTTGGAAAGGCATGTCACATGAGAGGACATATTACTCTCAGCTGGGGAATATGGACGGGATTATGGGTGTCTCTCTACCTGGATTGTAGGGCTCTTTTCTTGGCTTTTGTGGAACGGAGTTTCCGGATTTCTTGCTCAGGAAGGGAAAGGGAGTGGAAAGGGGGAGGGTTGCTAACGGGGACGGGAACATATAGTGTTAGTGCCATGTAAACGGATGGTGATAAGCGAGGTCGTGGAGCGGCTTTGTTTGGAATTGCTGGATTTTATTCATTCTTCATTTCATGTGCGGGGGATGTTGTTTTCCCCACGTTCCCACCCCTACGTGACCGTGTGTGATGTTACGCGGGAATCGAACGCCCTTTTGCTTGGCTCCGATGTATCGCGACGTGCCAGATGGAAACTGCTGTGATACCCAAAATCTGACGCTCAAACACAATTAATGGCCCGACGCGGGTGAACCTGAGATGGTCACCTGGTGAGTTGTGCACGGCAACCTGTCTATCTGGTCTTACAGCTCCTCCTGCGTGTCCTTGGATGCCGGCGACTTGATCAAATGGAACTTCTCCTGCCGTCCAAACACCCACTCGAACTTGCCGTTGACCCAGTATACGTCCTCCTCCAGGGGGAACTTGAGGGTCGCGTTGCGCTCGGGGACGTAGTGCTCGGCGAGCAGCTCCACGCTGTACCATGTTCTGTTGAGGAGTGGGAGTTCTCCGAGGACGGGGACCTCGTCTTGGAGGTTTGTCATGCCTGTGGTACGGTCAGAAAATCTTGTCTATGTAAACCTCAGGGTGACTAAAGTTGTGCCTTCCACTCTAGATTCGAGTGAAGGGTATCTGAACGGCGTGAGGGCGGCTTTTCCAGTCAAGAGATCGTGGTGTCAAATTCTCCTTGCTTGGTTTTTGAGAGCTAAGTCGTCGGACTTTCATGCGACTACAGGCCACTGGCCAAAGTCACATTGAAACATCCACGATCTCGGGAGCATTCTGGGGTCCGGATTTGGGAAATAGTAAGAAGAAACTTACCGATAACAGCACCTGCAGAGTGTCCCCAGTCCCCGATGGCATGGCAGTAAATCTTCCCCTCGACACCCTCCTCGGCCATCTGAGCCCGAGTTGCCTGCAGGATCTCGTTGCCAGTCTGCCCAGGAATCATCTTCTCCCGCACCAGATCCTGGAGACGGTTGCCCTTCTTCAGGCCCTCCTTCAAACCAGATGGGACATCATCCTCCGTCTCCCCAGGGTACAGAACATACCCGAGATGCTGCGTGTCAGTATTCATCCCCAGAGCAGTCACGCCAAAGTCAACATGCAAGAGGTCCCCGTACGCAATCGCCCTCTGCGGGCCGTCCCCCCAGGGGAACGCCTCCTCGATGATGGACACGCTGGGGTGGAACCAGGTCGTGTAGTTGAGCTCCTGGATCTTCTCGCGCATCCACCACTCCACGTCGGCGGTCGTCGTCGCCCCCGGCGCGATGACCCGCTCGCTGAAGGCCTCGCCGATGATGGCCCACGCCGTCTCCTGCAGCCGGCGGTACCAGGGCAGCCTCGCCTCGATCTGCGTGCCGATGAACTCGAGGTTGAGCAGGGGCTTGACGACGAAGCGCTCCGTCCACTCGGGCCCCAGCGCGCTGGCGATGGCGTCGCTCTCGCCGGCGTGCAGGCCCGAGGCGAAGGCCAGCTCCGGGTGGGCGTTGACGGCGATCTGGCGGGGCTGGTGGCGGCGCAGCGCGTCGGCGAGCTCGTCCCAGACGGCGGGGGTGTTGTCGATCCAGGTGTAGGCGGCGGCGGCCTCGTCGGCGACGAAGAGGGTGGTGGTGCGGCGGCGGGCGCTGAACTGGGTGGCCGCCTTGAGGGGCCAGAAGACGACGTCCTCGGCGTACTCGCGCTGGCTGATGAGCCAGGCGTCGACGCCGTGGGACCTGAGGATGCTCGGGATGGAGGCCCTGCGCTCGGCCGTCCAGGCGTCCTGGAGGGCGGCCTGGGCTCGCAGCGGCGGGAGCTGCTGGTAGGTGGCTGCTGTCGCGAGGGCTCCGTGGACGGCGAGGGCGGCCAATTGGAGTGATGGGAGCTTCATGATGGGGTTTAGATTTACGTAAGAATCATGGGTATCATATGGGTATCATGGATTGGAGGGTTGGTGGATGGGAAATGCGAGTGAGTGCTGGAGGGTTGTCACGGAGGATGGCGAGATGCCTGGTTGAGGAAACTCCACAGAGCAGCAAATGCCGCTTCGATATTGACCGTTTTGGCGGATCATCACCTGAATATCACATGACATGGGTCTGGAGGAACAACATTCGGGTAATCCGGCTGCTGTGATTGCAGCCATTGATTCCGAGTGAATGTGTGCAATCACGCAATTGCTGTGTCCAAGATATCAGGAACAGGTATCAGCTAATTATCTCTAGTTCCAAAATTACGATATATTTCTGAACTCTGAGCTCTTCCCTGGATATACAATTCGTCAATCCTGGGATCATGTACAGACGATCTCTGCTCCTCTGATTCGTTGTACATGCAGGGGTCTTGATTGTTGGTTGATGGATAAATCGGAGCCTATCTCATAGAACAATAAGAGCCTTCTTCCTCATTTTAGTTGTACTATTAGCTTCATGGGATTTCCCAAGGATGTATCTTATATCTTCTATCTCCCAAGGCTGACTTTCCATGGCTCGCTCTACCTTAAACGCAAATGTGCGCTTTAGATGGATAACAAGGAACCATTTTCTTCCTACCCTTGGGCGAGGATTTCAAAAGAAACCGAAACTGCGAGTTTAGTTCATCGTAGAGTCCCCTCTCGCTTTGTTCAAACAACGGCTGGTGATGAACTTCGACTCTATCTATGCCAAGGCCTGCTTAATCACACTCAAGCTCTCATCTCCTGGGATATTGCATGATCCTGTCATTGGCAAGAACCAAAATTATACATCAGGATATCTCTCGACCAAAATTAAAGTCACAGGTGTGCAGAACGGTGCGAAATCACAGTACTTTCACCGGCTTTGCTGTGCAATGAAGCCTGGAGCCTTCCGAAACGATAAATGTTCTTCAGTATTGGATCCTAGATACCAAGGGTTGTAGTATTAGACGAGCAATACGGCCGATTCTGAAGAGGACAGAGCTAGGCTTTGAGAAAGCAGGACGGCTTTAGACCAGGATGAATGTCGTGTCACACTGGAATTTTCTTCCCATTTGTCCCAAATAATGCAGCCAGGGCTTCATGTATACACTTTCCGCCCAATGACCTCAGCCAACGTTTGCCACATTTTTGCCCATCAGCTGCTCCTGCTAGCCTCTATGCTATTGGTGATACAGAAGTGCTCATTGCCAGGGCGATGAGAGACCGAACAAGTTCCTCCTTGGAGAATCAGCAATTATATTGCTGCTGTGGCACTTCGGGTCTGTCGTATTCTTCCCCAGCCCAGCCTTACCTCCTCCAAATGAGCAGATGACTGATCTGCAGCACTAGGCCTACCTTGTCCTGAGACTCGTGGGGCAACCTCGCGTGGTCTAAGCCGGCTTCGACGCAGACGGCCCGTGGAATCAACAAGAGTAGGGGTCATATATCTGGATAATTACATCCTACGGACGATTGCGGCTGGCGTGGCATATTGTGGCCTGAGGGTTCGGTCCCCTGAAACTGTTGGCTCAGCCTTAGACGCAGGTTTCGAGCTTAAGCCAGTGGCTTGGGCCGCGTGTGGTTTTGCTATTTCTGACCAAAGGGTGGTATCCAGCTTGGCGGAGCTTTGCCCCGACCGCCGCCACTTGCTGCCTTTCTTTCAGCCTACCCGACACCGACTTACTTCGACTCGACAACCTCGTTTCAAAACCGTGGCTGCAAAACCGTCTACGAACCCCCCCTCCGAGCCGATTCTTGCTTCCACATCACATCACCCGCTGCCATGGCGTCCAGCCGAGACCGTCGTATAGCCAAGGAGCTGGCCGACATCACCTCGGACCGGGCCAACTCGGGCGTCTTCGCTGCTCCCGCCGACGGCGTCTCCCTCAAGAAGCTCGTGGGCACAATCAACGGCCCTCCCGACACTCCATACTCCGGCGGCACCTTCGAGGTCGACATCACCATCCCCGATGCCTACCCCTTCAAGTCGCCGTCCATGAGCTTCAGGACTAAAATATGGCACCCCAACGTCAGCAGCCAGACGGTAAGTCGGGAGCCACACAAAACAATCAACCCCACCAAACCCCTCCTACCTCGAAACCCTTTTGGCCCCCTCCAGAAGCAAGAGCAGCCAGGAACTAACGAGCCTTCCTTCTTCCCCTTCGCAGGGTGCAATCTGCCTCGACACCCTCGGCTCGGGCTGGTCCCCCGTCCAGACCATCAAGACCGCCCTCCTCTCCATCCGCATGCTCCTCGAGTTCCCGAACCCCAAAGACCCCCAGGACGCCGAGGTCGCCAAGATGCTGCTCGACGACCCCGAGCGGTTCGCCCTCATGGCGCACGAGTGGTCCGTCAAGTACGCCGGCGCACAGAGGAGGGATCTGAACCTGAGCCAGTACAAGAACGAGGGCAGGCCGTCCTCGCACGACGATGACGTGAGGAGGTAAAAATGCCCCCCCAACCAAACCAACCCTCTCTCCCCAACACAAGCAGAGGAATTAACAACAGGTTTTTAGGTACAACGGCTACAATAAGGAGCTAGTCGGCCGCTTCGTCAGCATGGGCTTCGACGTCGACGCCGTCGTGGAGGCCTTCCTCTACGTCGGCGTCGACCGCAACCACGGCCAGGACTATGAGCTGGAGGAGCGGTATATGGGCGACGTCACCGCCCGTCTCCTGGGGGAGTGACGTGCTTTCGAGAAAAGAAAATGCCCTCTTTTTTTTGGTTTTCTTTTTTACATATACTCTTGCTCTGGTTTCGTTTGGTGAAACGAGAGCTACACCGTGAAATTTGCCGTCAATTTGGTCTCTCTTCCTGGATTTTTGGCCCGGGTGTGCCGCCTTGGAACGTTTACTACCAGCATGGATGGGGAGTTTATATGGTTGTTTAATATTGTCATCTTCCTTTAACGCTAGATTCTATAATAATGGTTTCCACGCAGCCTGCCGATTAATTGATATGGTTTAGGTTCATCGTGCTATCCCGAGGGTCAGAGTCATCGTTTTTCCCCAAGGGGGAGATGCAAGTGCGGCTCACTGGCCGAGCAAGTCGTGTATTCCTATGTTCAAGATGTTGCATTATTTTTTGGAGTTTGCCGCGAATGTTCGATCTTCTTCCCCGCCGCCGGCGACGTATATTAGCCTTCTCTACATGTCATCAAAATTGAAGGACGGAGGGTCAACTGATAGGTAGGACCCATCCAGCCCAGATAAAGCTCAGAAACCGTTATGCCATTTATTCACATCCAGACATATGAAAGGGAAAAGTGAACTTGAGAAACAAGGGTCAAAACAATATCGCACTCCCGCGGTTCAACCAGCCCGGCCCGTTCTATCAGATGCGTACGGTAATGGAATAAATTAAAAGAACCAACCCGCTATGGTCGCGGCGGCCTGTCCTCCTCCCCTTCACACACACTCCTCTCTCCCCATCTGTCTAACCCCCTTTTCATCCTAAGGGAGACGGGGGTTGACAAGCGAAAGAGTGGTGGTAGATTACAGCAGGTCGCGGCGGACGAACTCGTTGTAGAGGGCCTTGCCCAGACCAGCTGGGGAGCGCTCGACGATGACGCCGGCGTCCTCCAGAGCCTTGATCTTGGTGTCGGCACCACCCTTGCCACCAGAGACGATGGCACCGGCGTGACCCATGCGGCGGCCGGGAGGAGCAGAGATACCGGCGATGAAGCTGACGACGGGCTTGCCGCCATTGACGGTGTTGGCCTCCTTGAGGAACTCGGCGGCGTCCTCCTCGGCGGAACCACCAATCTCACCAATCATGATGATACCGTCGGTCTCGGGGTCCTCGGTGAAGACCTTGAGGCAGTCGATGAAGTTGGTGCCGCTAAAGGGGTCACCGCCGATGCCGACGACGAGGGACTGGCCGAGACCAGCCTGGGTGGTCTGGTTGACGGCCTCGTAGGTGAGGGTGCCGGAACGAGAGACGATACCGATGCGGCCGCGCTTGTGGATGAAGCCAGGCATGATACCGATCTTGCACTGGCCAGGGGCAATAATACCGGGGCAGTTGGGGCCGACCAGGCGGGTCTTGTTCTGGGTCTTGAGCATGCTGGTGATGCGGACCATGTCTGAAAGGATTGTGTTAGGAGTCGAGCAATCGTAAGGTGGGTGGTTCGACCTGTGGGGAACATACCATGCTGAGGGATACCTTCTGTGATGCAGACCGCCAGGGGAATCTCAGCCTCGAGAGCTTCCTCGATACCGGCAGCAGCCAGAGGAGGACTTTGCAAAATTGTTAGCTGGTAAAAAAGTCGGAGACGGCTGCGGAGGCAATAGCGTACGGGACGAAGAGGGCGGTGGCGGTAGCACCGGTCTCCTTCACGGCCTCGCTAACATTCTTGAAGACGGGCAGGTCAAGGTGAGTCTGGCCGGCCTTTTTGGGGTTGGTTCCACCGACGACCTGAGTTCCTAATGGGTTGGAGTTAGCATCCAAAGGCGAATGAGGTGGTTAATTGGGGTTTCGCAATCGTGCGGCGGTTGCTGCTCGTACCGTAGTCGATGGCTTGCTGGGCGTGGAAGCTAGAGGAGACCCCTTTGTTAGTAAGACGTTGACCGAGGGGGGGGGGCAAAGTGTCAAGAGCTTGAGATTCAAGCTAAAGGTCCAGGAAAGGGTCACACCACTCACGTTCCCTGCCTGCCAGTGAAACCTTGGTAGATGACCTTGGTATCACCGTTAATACGCAGGTTGTTGATTGTCTGGGCGTAAGGCAAACTGCTGGAGGTGTATGCGCGACTGGCGATCTGGCGCAAGGCGGCCGGTCGTAGAGTCGATCTCGGGAGGGACTGCATTGTGAAAGGGGGTTAAAGGGAAGAGAGAAGAAAATACAGGTGGAATGGCCGCAAAGTCAATTGCGGACGGGGCGTTTTGATGTTCTGGAAACCTTGCTCGGGGAGTGGAAAGTCACAAGCCTAGGTGATGCGAGGAAGCATCATATCTG